GTATTAAATACTTAAACACTAATATATAACAATACTAACACTATATTAGATAATAATAGAAAGTAATAATAGAACCCTAAGCTAAACTACCTGCTGGATTCGGGCCATTCGGCTAACAGAGTGGAGAAGTCTGGGTCGAGGTCGCTGGTTTGGGTCGGGTAAGCGTGAGAGCTTCTCTCTCTCTCTCTCTCTCTCTCTCTCTCTCTCTCTTCTCTGGATCGGCACAAGCACGGGTTAGACGGCTCGGGTAGGGAAGGCGACGAGAGAATTGTCTAGGCGAGAGTTCTGTAGGTGTCAGCTTCAGATGATGCTCGGTTAGAGCAGGCTTTGGGTTCGGTTGGCTTGTCGGAGGAGAACTTGATGGGATTCAGAGGAGATCCAGGCGGTGGAGCCGACGGCTCTGAAGGTTTGAGGGGTAGGTGCGATAGTTTGTGTGAGACAGAGATGTCGAGCTTGGAGGCTGTGGATCGGAAGGGAGGGAGCTTCAATCGGAACGTCCGATTGAGTTGGGGTTGGAAGCAAGCCGCAAGGAAGGGCCTCGGCTGTGGGGATTCAGTGGTTTTGCGATCATGGAAGAGAGAAGGGAATCTGGAGTTGGGATTTCGCAAGTTAGAGCTGAGAGCACCTCCGAAGGCTTCATTCGAGTTGCTTATAACGACGAAGATCATGTCATATCACGAGGTTTCAGCGGTATTTGGGGGAGAAGACGTGGATATCAGCCGGATTTCAGGGATTCGCTCATGTATTTCGATGGTGCCGAGGTATTTGAGCGGGATTTCAGTTGGATTCTCGGAGAAGTCAACTAGGTCTTTGTATACGAGGTATGCAATGTTCCTTATGGATTTTTCTTGAATTTGGCTTGGGTTTTGGTTATATACCTGTTGGTCAACAAAAGATAATTAAATTAATTTTTCCTGAACTAAATGTTAATTAACTGAACTAAATATTAATCAATTAATTATTGCTATTACAGTTTAGTTAATTAATTAAATGTTGTTGTAGCAGTACAGTTCCACTTAAAACCTTATGCAATAGATAATTGCATCAAATGACTGAGATTGCATAGGAAGATTTTAGTGCAAAAGGTATTAGACTTATAATATTATATAATAACTTAAATTAAGCACTAGCCCATTCTATTTCTTTCCCCATTCTCGTCACATTGTTCTCCATTCTTTGGAGTTCGATCAGGGCGCAGGCTGCGAACAGAAGCTGGGGAAAATTCGTGGGGGCTGCTGCTGTTGCGTGTGATTCCTGTGGTTGCTGGGGACAAAACAGTAAGGTAAGAAGTGAAAGAGAAGGAAAAAGAGTTAATTGGATGGAAAATTGAAGGAAAGGTAAGTAGAGAGGGAGTTTTGGGAGAGGGAAAGAATAATTTGGGTTAAATGAGTCCAATTGAGGTAAATTTGCATATTACCTTATATTTATTTTGAATTCATGTATTAATGATACGAAGTATGCTTTAGGTTGTTTACAAGAGGAAAAGAGGCCGAGGTATTTCAGTTGAACAACTTTACATGACTACTCTAGAGAACTAGGCGAGATACCAATTTGTAGTATAGGAAAAAGTAAGCTTTTTTATACAATTATGATAGCATGTTTATTTAATTATGGTGATAATTATTTTCATGTTAAGCATGTTAATGTTTTACTGGCATATTTGGTTTCAATATTTGTTGGATGAGTTAATTTGATATACATATGTTAACTGTATATAAAGGTATGTTTAGAAATGTGAAGTTTCTTGAAAGATAAATGAAAAGGAAAATGGGATAAGTCATATATGAGGGATAGACTTGTATAAGTAAATGCGATAGACCCGATGAGATAAGTCTTAGGGACCATATAGGAGGTACCTGACTCTCTCACTTCTAAAAGTTAAGAATTCAGATTTAACTTTTAATGAGAGAGCTCTTACTTCTAAATGCTGAGAATTCAAACCCAATGTTAAAGGAGAGAGCTATAAATAGTCATCATATGACTTGCCTAAAGTAATGAAAAATAAATAGAACAAAGAATATGTGGAAGGTTAAATAATATTTATGGTGATTGACATTGTTATGCATTGGTTATTTATACCGTTTTATGATTCATACACCAATTCAGATATCATTTATAATTGAATGCAAAGTTTTGTGTTTCTTATTTCTTATTTCTTATATTATGATTGTGTATTTCATTGAGTTTAAGCTCATTAACAGTGGTTGTACTGTGGGAAAGTGGAAGGAGCGAGTGGGGTGATAGTTAGGAGGTTAACTGCATTTCTGTATACATACATTTTAGGTGTGTATAGAGGTCAAAGTAGAAGCTATACAGTCAGACAAATTTTTGGGTATGTAACTTCGTTGAAAATTTTACTAAAGCTTTGTATTTCTTTGATGTATTGTGCATATGTTCCAAATAGAAAATTGGTAGATAAACTGTTAAACTAAAAAGTGCTTTGTAATGGGATAGTTTGGATATGCTATTTCTTACTCACTTAATCTAATAGAAATATTTCTAGATGGGTGTTAGTAAGAAATATGTCTAGTTTGATTACACTCTAGGTTGACTAAGGCTACGTTTGGGACGACGTCTGGGCTGCTTCACGGCTTAAAACGCGCACCCCGTGCTGTTTGGGGCAGTGCGTTGGACCTCCGGCCTAAAAATTTTTACTCTGGCAGCCTGTTTTTTGCGAAGCAAAATACCTCCCGCGGTCCGTCGCTTTCCGCTGTTCTGATATGCTAGAAAGTCGAAATTAACCTTCTTTTCAGTCGGACCCCTCTTCCGCTTTGTCCATCTGCACACACCCCACGAAGCCATCGTTTGTCCTCTCTCTCACGGACGAACCAGACGGAAGCCACGCCTCTGCCTCTCATCCGTTCGAACTGTATCAGGACACCGCAAAACTCCCTCCTCCTGTCGACTCTCTCTCTCACACAAGGTAACCGCATACTCTCTTCTTCCTTCTCCTCTTCTCTCTTCTCTTCTTCTTTCCCCTTTCTTCTTCTCCCTTGTTCTCTCTTCTTATGTAGTTAGGATCCCAATTTTTCTTGCTGGATGTCATAAATAGGAACAAATGGAAGTATGCCCCTGAGAGAATGAGAGCATCTTCTTCATTTCTTCAAAGAAACAAGCTTCCAGGCTTGATGATTCATTTATCATAGCTCCAACATGTAAATTTTTTAGCTCTACTGCATCGCCACGGAACCTTTCTTCTCTGTATGAGGTTGTAGCGGGGTTTACAAAGGTTTTATTAATCTTGCAAATGACATGGGAGAAAGGATTACAGTGACTGTTAAGATGCTCAACCAGTATGATTTGCAGGGACAAAAGAAATGGCTTGCAGAAGTAAAGTTTCTTGGAATTGTTGATCACCCAAATCTTTTTATTTTATTTTATTAAATGCTTATTATATGATCAGTAAGTTGTTTTTAAGACGGAATACGTAAATAGATCAATTGTTACCAGAAAATTTTATTATTTATTACATTTTCGTTGCCGGTTCAATTTTTGGAATATGGAAAGAATTTATATGATTACCGTTTAAAAGTAATACTGCAAATATATGGAAAGAATTTATATTATTACATTTAATTTAGAATAGTTAGTTTGTTATCATAAATTTTTTTAAAAATTGACATTTAATGAATTTTCTTTTATCTTAATATGTAAGGGTATAAATGTAATTTTTTCCCATACAGTTGCAATACAGCAACTTCACAGTTATAATTCCCAAACAAAATATATTGCTTTATGTACAGCAACTTCAGAACTCAGCTTTCTGTACAACAACTTCACAACCTACTTTACCGACAGCTGCAGTCGTCTCAAACAAACCCTAAAGGTGGTCAAAATAGGGTGTGACATAATTAGTGCCTTTCCAAATTGTAGTCTAACAGTTGAGAATGATTTTGCACCTACTTGTAATATTAGTTCTCCATATCTGCCTTAGGTTTTTATCTTCTGATGAGCAATGATCATCCTATTATTGAGGATATCTGTGATCCAGACTCCTTATTTTTGGCTTCGATGTTTAGCATTTCTAGCACAAGAGAGCTAATGGGTTAGAAGGGAAGAAAAAGCAAGTGAATAGATCCTATCTCTCTTCAAAGTATATCAAACTTCAAGTTATACTTTTTTAATGAGGGCCTTTGGGATTTATCTCTTTTCTGTTAGTTTGTTCATTTGCCACTTGTTGGTCTTGTTTGTGTAATTTCTTTTCATTCTTTTCATCGAGCAATGCTATGCAATTGCTTCGTGTTGTATTCTTTCATGGTATGAATAAAATTTCTTTTGCTTAAAAAAAATGGAGGAAGTGCTGGTTTGAGTGGTTTCAAAGAAAACATGTAAAGGGAGGAGCAAGGTATTTTTTGCTTATGCTTTCATAGCACTATGTCTAGTGATGTTAATGTTAATTGAAGCACACCCTTTTTCCTAATCAATAATCATTACTTTTTTTAACTGAAACTGCATATGAAAGTCACTCTAATACCAACACAACTGATCTATCATTCATAGTTGAATTCCAAGGTATCAAGATACAATGTTTAATTAAAATAAAGCCAGGTGAATTAATGACAAATAGACCTAGCATTTAGGTGAAATTTCAGAAGCCATGCAAAATATCAATTATCAAATAACTTGATTGTAGACTTTGTAGGGTTTAAGGAACTAATTTTGAAAGAAAAAATCTGATTATCAAGTATCAGTAATAGACCTTCCATATCATTACCAAGTAATGAGGTCGGAGTAGTGAAACTTGTGTTATTTGCCTTGTCAAAAGATCTCATTAACAAAGAAAATCCCAGGAAAATGGTTTGTCATGCCATACTTGACTGTAACTGTTAGTTTTGATGAAGTATAATCAATTGAATCACGAAAACATCCAAGTGTCAGCAACCGAATCTAACATCATTACGAGTTCTGAATTTCTGTGGAACTGTTTATTTCCCCCATTTCATTCTTTTCTCAGTGGGCTATGTTACCAAAAATTCTCTTTGAATTTTCGTTTCCTCCAGAGTTAGGTTGGTGAGGTTGGGGCATCCTGCACGTTTGTTACCCCAAGTGCTGGAGAGCGCTCTCGATGCACAGGTACAGCATTAACATTTCCTTTATACCAAGTTTTGATTTTACAGCAAGATGTTGTCTAGTAGACTTAACTAGAGCTTATCAGACACTGCTTTAGAGAAATGGATGCTTTAACTAAATATCTTTTAGATCGTGTGGAAAATATTGTTTGTTGTTAAGGGCTATAATGGATGAGCTATATAAAGACACAAGATATCAAAATATGGTGACATTCTTGATTCTTATCTTAATAATTAAAATTAGGGTTACTTGTATAAAACTCCTTATTGTTTGTTTTGTATTACATGAATAATAGGTTAACTTGTTTTGTGAACTAAGGGTAACTAATCTTGATTTTATGATGTAGTTTTTTAAACCCCACTAGTACTTCTAGGGGTTGATATGAATCCTTAGTATTGCTAATAAGGATTTGGGTATGACTATCTGAGTCGATCATACTGACATTCATATGCTAGCCAAATTCAGAATGGAAAAATCATTAAAGTTATTATGTCACATTTGGAATCTATTAAATATGGGAGATTTGAGAAATAATTTCTTCTGATTAGTTTCTTGACAAGAAATATTAGTTGAAATCTTTTTATCTACTAAATTATCAAGACATTTGCTGGATTTTTGAGACTGAATTTGAGCAAGAATCATCATAATCCACAACTTTAGGAAAATCAATTATAGCTTTGGTGTAAAAGCCGAAAAAATATCGATCATATGCGTCGCACAAATTTCGATGCGCCACGACGAAATTAGGCAAAATTTCAAAGTCTTCGGAATTCGACGCAATTAATTTTATTAGATTTTATGTGAAATTTCAATCGAAACGGGATAAAGAATTTATACCTAATTTCACGCGAATTTGAAGTTAAAAATGGATGAAGAAAATTTTAATAAAAATTAATATGCAAATGTCTAAGTAGCCCTCCTAACTCTTAAGGGAAATTTTTGGCTTGAAGGGCACATGCGTATTCTTTTCCCACACCGGCACACCCCCAACAAATCCTTAAGGGACGGCGGCTTTCTGGCAGCGGTTCGTGGAGGGAATCGAAGGGAGAACTCTGGGAAGGAGTAAGGTGAATTTCTAAGAGCAATTTTCATTGTTTTCCTTAAGAGTTCTTTGATGAAAAAATTTAGGGTTTATTGGAAACTTCAAATTTCTTTAGGAGATTGATAGGGAAGGCTTATGTCCTTTAAGAGTTGATTTTAAACATGAAAAATGAGATTTTTCCCTAAAAATTTTGGTCTTTGAAAATTATGGTTTCTTTGAATCTTCTTTTCCTTTCAAAATGCTTTAGTATGAATGATTCCTAATGACATTAGAAAGCCTCTATTGGAAGTTAATTTAATTTTTTATGAAAAATTTCAAGTTTAAAAAATTAAGGCTTTTCCCTAATCATGAAAATCCTTAAGTGTTATTGTTGCAAATAGACTCAGGAAAGATTTTAGAGGTGGGAATTAGGGTTTTTGCACAAAATTTCATTTTTGTAATTTTAATTTAGATTAATCTGAAAATTTGTTGACCTCCATGAAGAAAAAAAAAAAAAATCAGAATATAAAATACCTGTGAAGCTGGCTGCCCATCCCGCAAATCCTGCAAAAATCTCGTCGCCAGCTACAGTGTTTCGTCCTACGACCCTGCAAACAGCGCCATCTCAGAGCAGGATACGCGGATATCGTGCGCAGGCCTCGATCTCGCTCCCATGAGCGTCATTAAATACCCCGCTTCTCCCTTCGGCTAGACACACACGATCAAGCTCTAGTCTCTTCTCCCGTTTGCAAATCCCTCACAGCCTCCGACTCTCACGACCGGAATCCCTCCCGCTCTCTGCCGAAATCCTCAAACCTCTACTCCCTCACTCCCCATCCCGTTTCCACTCAACCCGTCGCCACCTCCCCCATCTTCTGAAGCCTCGACGATCTCCCGACCTCCCGACCTCCAGTCGCTCGAGAGAGAGAGAAAGAGAGAGAGAGAGGGAGGGAGAAAGGAGAGAGCATTTTCCTACCTTAGTCGAAGCTCCTTCGCCTCCCTCACTGCCGTTCGACTTTGCTCCCTTGGACGACTTCCCTTCTCACCCGATCGGAAGTCACGACATTTTGATCGCGATCAACAACGGGAGCTCGTCACTCCTCCTGCTCCTTCAGAACTGTTCGGCTTCGCTCCTACATTGACTTTCCCTTCCAGTAGGATCGGAAGTTACACATTTTGATCGGAAACAGAACAGGGAGCTCGCTGGAAGTGAAGGTAACTTTCTACCCTTCGCGTGCTTCTTCGGCCTGTCCTGGCCGAACCCGAGAGAGAGAGGGAGAGATTGCTTATATTTTTATTAACTAATATTAATTATAATTAATTTAATAAAATTATAATTAATTATTAATTATAATAATTATATCAGTTATAATTAAATATTATTAGTTTTTATTAATTATATTTAACTGTTAATTATCATTAATTATCTTTAATTATTATTAATTATAATTAGGCATAACTAATTATAATTAATTATAATTAATAGGTTAATTATAATTAAATAGTTAAATATTATTAATTTTAATTAATTGTTTAATTATTTATTTAATTATAATTATTATAATTAAATAACATTAATTATAATTAAATATAATTAATGGATTATTTATAACTAAATGATTAATTATCATTAATTGCAAAAATGTCTCTCTTGCCTCGATCCTCGGGCCGACACCGACATTCCTCGCGAAGGTATGAATTTTCTAAACTCAGATTCTCGCTCCGTTGTGTGCGGCGGACCGGAAAACCGCCTATACACGCCTTTATTGCGCGTGGTGGGATGGGACCCCGGTCCGACGCCTACGACGAGGCGGGAATCGCCTAAACTCTACTCCGGTGTTCGTGGCGCACCGGAAAACCGCCTATACACGCCTTTATTGCGCGTGGTGGGAAGGGA